TGGAGTGATATTATATGGCATTAAGGACAACCTTATGGGGACGCCCGAGTGGCTCAGTTGGTTAAGCGGCTGCCTTCAGCTCAGGTCATGATCCTGGAGTCCCGGGATCGAGTCCCGCATCGAGCTCTCTGCTCAGCAGGGAGTCTGCTTCTCCCTCTGACCCTCCCCCCTCATGCTCTCTCTGTCCATCTCATTCTCTCTCTCAAATAAATAAAAAATCTTTAAAAAAAAAAAAAAAGGACAACCTTATGGGCTGTAAAATTAGCAGAAAATGTGTACATGAGATAACATTAAGGGAGAAAGAAAGATACATAAAAATGATATAAATTGATGTAGTATTTTTATGTAAAATTAAGTACATAATAACTTTTGAGGGAATAAACCATAACAGAGAAATGTAAGACCAAAAAAATATATTTTTAATGATAATATAATTATTATAAACTCAATGTGAGCTAATAAATGAAATGTGAGGGTTTGTTTTTTTTTTTTAAGGAAGCCTGACACAACTTTGAGATTCTGCTAACAGGCAGAAACTGTTAGCTGTCTAATAAAATCCATTCTTCCTTTCTTCCATTGTAAGTGAATTGTAGCAAGTGACATGGCTAACAGGAGTAGCCATGCAGCTCTTGTAATGGGTGTAGTCATGTGACTTTCTTGCCAAAGGAACCGAACCAAAAGTGATACGTGCCACTTCTGATCCCACAGTGGAACTGCCTTCCCCTTGCTATCCTTTCCTATCTCTCTAACTAGAATCCATACCTGGCTGTTGACCAGCTTCAACCAAGAAGATGATTACCAACCTAGAATGTTCACCTCTGACTGTTACGTGACAGAGAACTTACTGATTTAAGGGTTCTTTCTGTTTCTACAACTTTAGCCTACCCAAACCAAACAACAGGCATCACTAGCAGTCTCACATTTAGCTGTGTTCAACAGATTATATCACAGATCCAATCTGTTCCATTGATATCCTGAAGAAACAGGTTCATTTCTGGGTGCCGCAGAGCCCTAAGAAACAAGAAGATGACCCAAAGGGAAAGACAAAGATGGTCCCTTTCTGTTGGCAGAAGGAAACAAAAGAGGGTCAAAGCAAACATTTTATTCATTCATTCATTCATTCATTCATTCATCCATCCATCCATCCATCCATCCATCCATCCATCCATCCATCCATAGCACTTTGCAGAGCATTTCACTTATATTATACCATTCAATTCTGGGAGCTAGGGTTGAGCCTGGAGTAGAAGATACCATCATCTTCCAATATTTGAAGGGTCTTTCCAAGGGACAGAAAATTCTCTCTCTTTTTAAAATCTCTTTGTGTACTTTTTATTATGCATGGATCTATTCTTACTGTAACATATTCTAAAAAGATAGGAGGACATAGAATAAACCATGGTAGTCCCTGCTCATCCCTCTTCTCTCCCTCCAACTCCCCTCCCCAAAGTAATCCCTGTTAACAGCTCCTAGCGTCTATCCACAGATTATTTTCAGTTTTCTATATAGACCAAGCAGTTCAAATGTCATGACCTCCAGGAATCCTTCCTTGAGCTTCTCTGCCCTCAACATAAGCTAAGGAAGCTTCTCCTATACCATCACTGCACCAGAGCCATTCTCTATCCTTGACTTATACATGATACATGACTCTATTTACATATCTGTCTTAGATAGTGTTCTTTGAGGACAAGAAGGCTTTTATGTATTGGATAAATGCATGGAGACTACATAGTAAGTTCAATAAATGTTTGTCAAACTGAATGGAAGTGAAGTTAAAGAGAGGCAGATTTTGTTCGACAAAACCAAACTCAAAGATTTAAGTAGAACCAAATGCTTATGAATTAGTCATCTTTAAAGTCAGTTTTTAGTCAAAGAGTTTCTTACATTGTGAGGGAATTTGGCTCTCCATGACCAATACCTCTTAACCCCAAAATTTTAATCCCCTATAAACACTTGTTCCACTTAAAACATTTTTTGTGATTTTCAGAGAGCTATAAGAGAAAATCAAAACCATAATATTCTCTCCTTCAGTTATACACCTTCTCTGTTTTGATCCCTCCTGGGTCTTTCTTCAAGATTCTAGAAGAGACTAGAAGTTAGACCTCTCAATGTGAACAGAGTAAAACGTCTAGATCCTATTTTCCTTAACTGATTAAACCACAGTTTCCTCTCTTCTTCTGTGGAAGACAATGATCAGTTACCCAGTAGATTTTTTTAGCCATTATTCTAATATATGTAGAAACATAAGCGTGTTTTCCTACTTACATATTCTTAACTCTTGGTGATTTTATTCTTCTAACATGAGTATTTCACAAGAAACTGCATTGTCATAAAAGCAAAACATGGTCATTTTTCTTCTCTTATGGGTAAAGAAGAACCAGTTTATATGTAATTGAATCGGCCTTCCCCCCCGGTTTGCTCTACTCTTTTACTTACTTCTCTTAGATCTATTGTTCCCATTAAATTTTCATAATATTCCATTAACTCACTGAAAAGAATCTTGCAAGGTATTGAAGTTAGAAGGAAAGCATTTCCTTTCATTATTATCGTGAGAAATTTTTTTGACAAAAGATTTTTTTTTCCTGTGGACCTTTGGTTTGCTCTCTTGCAGGATTCCCATAATTATGCTACTGTTATCAGTTCCCCCTTAAGGCCACCGCATGGTTTTTATATAAAACTGCATTGAATTGCTTTGAGTTTATCTCTGACCTATAGTATTACTTTCAAATTACTGGGTATCTAATTAGGAAGGGTTTTTTTTTTTTCATAAATAACATTTCAAAACTGTACTACTGCATGGCCAAATACCTGCTGTTTGCGCCTCAGTCTTTTTTCTGACATTCTCCTAAAAGCAGCTCTAGCTGAACACTGTACACTGTTGCTGTGTTGCAAAAATGAAGCAAATTCCATTTGTGAAGCCCAAATTGAAATCACAGAAGGCAGGATTCACACTGCTAATTGTTGCTTAGCAATAAAAAGTGCAAAACATTCTCATGGAACAGTGACACTGGGCACCAGAGGCATCTGCCAATCAGAGAATTGGAAAGCCAACAGTAATGGCAAGAAGAGGAATTCCAACCCTCAGAGGCGTTGGGGGGTGGGGGGAGGTTTCTGCCCTTGTTCCTAGTTAGCACGCTCAGTTGAAAAGAGAAAGAGTCCCTTCATCCATTAGATACTCCTGTTACAGGACTTGAAGACTGTGTGGAAATAGACACTCAAAGGCTCATCTTACCCTAAAGGAGTCCCTGATAGAATTACTCATACCTACAAGAACATATCACCATTCTCTCTTCTCTGTTAAAAAACTGAGTCTCCATGAGGATAGACATTCCACTCCCATTGTTTAGGATTTTTATGAGGCTTTATACTTAGGCATGACTGACTAAAATCACTGGCCACTGCTGATGGACTCAACCTCCATCCTTCTCATCAAATAGTTCATTCCTCTGACAACCATCCCAAGGCTATCCAGGAGCCCTCAGTCACCAGGCATCTTGATAGCATGCAAAAAGACACCCTTCACTTTGGAGATTCTAAGAGTTTTAGGAGCTGTATGTGGGAAACAGGGACAGAGACCAGATATGTTTCTTATCATGTCACAGGTAGATACTAATTTGTATTAGTTATCTATTGCCGTATAACAGTATTACCACAAACTTAGCAGCCTAAAACAACACATGTGTGTTATCTCATAGTTTTATGGGTCAGGAGTCCTGGCATGGCTTAACTAGGTCCTCTACAATCAAGGTGTGAGCCACAACTGGATTCTCATCTGAGGCTGACAGGGGAAGAATTGCCTTTCAAGATCATGTGATTGTTGGCAACATTCGGTCCTTGAAGGCTGCCAGACTGAAGGCTTCAGTTTCTCCTTGGCGGTCAGCCTTCTCTCCGTTCTTTGCCACATGGCCTTCTCCAGATGGCAACTCAAAACATGGCAGCATGCTTCTTCAAAGCCAGCAAGGAAGAGAGATTCCTAACAAGACAGATGTTCCAATCATATGTAACATCATCATGTATATGTAATCCTGTAAATTCTGCAAACTTTATCATATTCTATTGGTTAGGAGTACATCACAGACCCCACCCATACTCAGAGGGAGGGAATTACACACGGGTGTAAACTCCAACAGCAGGAATGATGGGAGCCACCTTAAAAGACTAACTACTACACTATTATTATTATTAATTTACAGGTGAAAAACAAACTGAGAAAGGTAAAATAAATCGCCAGTCAAGAGCTAAGCCAGGTTTGAACACAAGTGTATCTAAAACCAGAATTTGCCTTCTTAACCAATATAGTGCCAAGAAACTGTTCAAAGAGTACGTGAGACTAGAGCTTGAATGGCTTATTCTGAATAATCTGAGAGAATGCGTTAGGGAACCCACATGAGCAAAGAGACAGGAAAGAATGGATGTATTACAGGAGAGTGAGGAGGTGGTTCCAAGAAAGTTGATTTGGGCGTGTAATGGTGGGGGAAGCAGAGGGCTGGATAGCTAGGGTAGCACCAGAATTCTAGAAAGTGAAATGGAATGCATCAATCTAATGCAGTATTCAAAAGGGAATTGTTGCAAGTTTGTAAGCAGAAGTTTTTAAAGTATTAAGATAAATCAAGTATCATAGCTTCATTCTAATCAATATATCTGAAACTTCTCAGAAGAACAAATCTTGATGTTAACCAAAGTAGATATCCGTCTCTACTTGGCAATGCCTTTTAAAACATGGCTGCAAATTATTTAAACAAATAAATATCGACTACCAAGTTAAAAATATTTCTGACAGGACCCTCCTCAGTTAGATCTAAATGGAAGAAATACCTTGCAATAAAACAAGCAACTCTTTTTTGGAGGTCTTTACCACCCTCTTCAAGTCATAAATCCTAGAATCTGTGCTCTTGGCTGCTCTTCTCAATGGTGAGCTGTGACATAGGATACCATCGAAATCCGTTACCCTTACACACTGGGCTGCTCAGCCCTCTAACTCACAGGACAGCCAGGAAGACACAGGCTGGTCTGACCCTGTACTAGTCTTATGTCATCCTTGCGCAGGGGCCATGCTAATCTTCTCTGTATTGTTCCAATTTTAGTATATGTGCTGCCGAAGCGAGCACCCCTGTACTAGTCTTATGATGCAGAATGAAGGAGGAAAAATTTGGGGTTTGGAGGGAAAAGTCAGCACTGGAAATTATAAAATGATGTTTCCTTTGTCCAAACTCAGGTTACTTACTTTCACTCCTGGCTTTCACTCCTCCTAAATCAACAAGTATCACCATGATGTTTGTTATAATGAGATGAGATGATTGGTCATCTGCCTAATCGCAATGCAGAGTGAAGGCATAGAGTCACACTGCCTGGGTTGGAATCCTCTATCCTCCACCTGCAAACTTTGTGACAGGCTATTTCACTTCCTCTGGCCCATAAAGGGGAAGTAAAAATGATATAAAGCATAAGATTTGCAGAAGGATAAAGTGAGTTGATACATGTAAAAAGTGTTTAGGATCAGGAATAAAAAGTAGTCGACACAATAAAATATTGATGATTTATATCATTAGTGCATAGTGTAGTGATTTGCTAGTAAAAGTACAGTGAATTTGTTGAGTAAAAAATTCAATATAATGAACACAATCCTGAATCCTTTTCCATCTTGTGCTTTTCCTGCAAGGGTATATGTACCTCCGGGGCCCAGAGTCATGGTGCAAATGACCATGGGGTTTCTTCCTGGAGTGCCCACTTTACTGGAAGATTTGGAGAAAGGAAAAGAAATTTAACTCGAGCAAAATTGTTAGTTATCTTTATATTAACATCATAAGAGAGGTCTTTGTCGTTAGATCTGTATTATTTTTCTGATTGATACTGATTTAAATATACATAGGTCTACTTTTAAGTCCACAGTTTAGAATTCCTATGATGGATTTAAAAGCTATAAAATATTATCTTTATATTAAGTATCTGGAGGAAAGATTCCATGCAAAACAAAGCTTGATATATTATATACATGTTTTTCTCTGTACTTTGTTTTAGACTCATTAATTTCTTAATTATACTCATCTTTTTTCATCTGGTGGTAAAATAATAGTGCAAATTTTTTATTAAAATAAATCTTACTACAGAACATAAGCAATCATTAAATTATGTAAAAATCTGTGTTTTCTTCACTAGAGGAAAAATTGGTAGAGTAACAGAAAAATCAGACAGGCCCTCTTGAGGGTCAGAGTACTTATCTTGAACCTGAATAGATTGGACAACTTACTAAAATTCTCCAGAACTTTGATTTTAGGAACATGACCTACATCTTAGAGATCCTGAGAAATTTAAATCAGATATGTATGTCAAGTGATACATAGGAAGCCCTTTAAAAATTTAGTTCCATTTTCCAGCTACCATCTTCCCTACTACCTGCTTCAGTGACTACTTCTTCCTACAAATGTTGACCTCATGTCTCACCAGCCACCAATCATCATGTTTTTACCTTTTTATTGAATCTAACCTTATCTCTCTTTTTTCCCTTTCTTACTTAAGATGTGAGTTTTAAGAATTGCATGAGGGGGGCGGAGCAAGATGGGGGAGCAGTAGGAGACCTGGATTTCGTCTGGTCTCAGGAATTCAGCTGAATAGGGATCAAACCATTCTGAACACCTACGAACTCAACAGGAGATCGAAGAAGAGAGTAGCAAAACTCTCTGAACAGAGAAGCGACCACTTACTGGAAGGTAGGACGTGCGGAGAAGTGAATCTGAGGCCATATTTGGGAGGATAGACGGTGGGTGAGGGGGATGCCGTTGGCCGCTTCTGGCAAGTGCTAGAGCCGCGGAGCACAAAATCGGACCTTTTAGAAGTCGGATCCGCTGAGGGACATCGCTCCAGTGGCTAAGCGGGGGGTGGAACACTCGTGGGACAGTGTGGTCTCAGGACCCTCGGGGTCACAGAAAGACCAGGGGTGCCTGAGTGCAGCAGAGCTCCCAGGTATTGGAGCGGGGAAGCCGGCTGCAGAGACGGAGCCGAGGCGCGGGCTCTCAGCTCGGGGTTGCCATAAACTGTGATCCGCGGCCCAGTCGGGCCACTGCTCCTCCAGCAGGGACCCAACAAGCGGCAGATCTGGGGAGACTCCCATTCCTCCTCGGGGAGGAGTGGCGCGGGAGTGCACCTCAGGGATCTGCTGGGTTTGGAGACTCCACACGGGGTCAAGTGCCAGAGATAGAAACGCTCGGTCACAGGATGGGTGAGCGTGGAGTGCGGCCGGAGACCGGGGACAAGGGAGTGACTGCTTTTCTCTGGGGGCACACTGAGGAGTAGGGCCCTGAGTTCTCAGCTCCTCCAGGTGGAGATCGGGAGGCCACCATTTTCACCCTGGTCCTCCAAAGCTGTACCGAGAGCTTGCAGGGAACAAAGCTCCTGAGAGCAAATCCGAGCAGCTTCCTTAGACAGGACTGACAAGGGCGGGGCAATTCCGCCTCCGGCAAAGACATTTGGGAACCACGGCAACAGGCCCCTCCCCCAGAAGATCAACACGAACAGCCAGCAAGCCAAAACCAAGTTTACCGATCAAGGAGAACGGGAGAACTCCAGCGCTAGGGGAATACTGCACATAGAATTCATGGCTTTTTTTTACCATGATTCATTAGTTTTTCAAAGTTAATTTTCTTAGATTATTTTTTTAATTTTTCTCTTTCCCCTTTTCAACCAACATCTTATCAATCCCTTTTTTTAAAAAAAACATTTTTTATTTTTCATTTTCAGAGTCATATCTTATCCCTTCATAGTAGTTACCCTTATTTTTGGCATATATATATATAAGTTGTTCTCTCTTTAAAATTTTGAGATACAGTTTCTTCTAAAGGATCAAAATATACCCTAAATCACTAGTGTATGGCTTTGTTCTAGTCTCCTGCCTGATCACATTCTCTCCCTTTTTTTGTTTTTTTTTTAAATCCTCTTTCTTTTTTCAAACAACTTCTTATCTTATCAATTCCTTCTATAAAATCTTTTATAATTTTCATCTTTACAGTAATCTTCCATCCCTTCCAATGAAGGGACCTTATTTTGTACATATATAAGTCTTTCTTCCTTTAAAATTTTAGGAGGCACTTTTTTCTAACAGACCAAAATACGCCCAAAATCTAGTGTGTGGCACTGATCTATGCACTAGCCTGATCATATTTGATCATATTCTGGTTTTTTTGTATTGTTCTGTTTTTATCTTTTTATTTTGCTTTTTGTTTTTTTCTCTTTCTTTTTTCTTTCTTTCCCTTTCTTTTCGCCTGGTTTCAGGTCTTTTCTGATTTGCATAGAGTATATTTGCTGGGGACGTTGTTAACCTGTTAGCATTTTGTTCTCTCATTCATCTATTCTCCTCTGGACAAAATGACAAGACAAAAAAGTCACCTCAGCAAAAAGAACAAGAGGTAGTACCGTCAGACAGGGACCTACTCAATACGGACATTAGTATGATATCAGACCTAGAATTCAGAATCATGACTTTAAAGATACTAGCTGGGCTTGAAAAAAGCGTGGAAGTTATTAGAGATACCCTTTCTGGAGAAATAAAAACCTAAAATCTAACCAAATCGAAATCAAAAAGGCTATTAATGAGGTGCAATCAAAAATGGGGGCACTAACTGCTAGGATAAATGAGGCAGAAGAGAGAATCAGCGATATAGAAGAGCAAATGATGGAAAATAAAGAGGCTGAGAAAAAAAGAGAAAAACAACTGCAGGATCACAAGGGCAGAATTCAAGAGATAAGTGATACGATAAGACAAAACAACATTAGAATAATTGGGATCCCAGAAGAAGAAGAAAGAGAGAGAGGGACAGAAGGTACATTGGAGCACCTAATAGCAGAGAACTTCCCTAATGTGAGCAAGGAAACAGGCATCAAAATCCAGGAGGCACAGAGAACACCTCTCAAAATCAATAAAAATAGGTCAACACCTCAACATCTAATAGTAAAACTTACGAGTCTCAGAGACAAAGAGAAAATCCTGAGAGCAGCTCGGGAGAAGAGATATGTAACCTACAATGGTAGAAAGATTAGATTGGCAACAGACCTATCCACAGAGACCTGGCAGGCCAGAAAAGACTGGCATGATATCTTCAGAGCACTAAATGAGAAAAATATGCAGCCAAGAATACTATATCCAGCTAGGCTGGCATTGAAAATAGAAGGAGAGATAAAAAGCTTCCAGGACAAACAAAAACTAAAGGAATTTGCAACATGAAAACAGCCCTCCAAGAAATATTGAAAGGGGTCCTCTAAGCAAAGAGAGAGCCTAAAAGCAGCATAGAACAGAAAGGAACACAGATAATATACAGTAACAGTCACCTTATAGGCAATACAATGGCAGTATTTCATACCTTTCAATAGTTACCCTGAATGTAATGGGCTCAATGCCCCAATCAAAAGACACAGGCTATCAGATTGGATTAAAAAACAAGACCCATCAATATGCTGTCTGCAAGAGACTCATTTTAGACCCAAAAACACCCCCACATTGAAAGTGAGGGGGTGGAAAACCATTTACCATGCTAATGGACACCAAAAGAAACCTGGGGTGCCAATCCTTATATCAGACAAATTAGATTTTAAAACAAGGACTATAATAAGAGATAGGGAAGACACTATATCCTACTTAAAGGGTCTATCCAACAAGAACATCTAAAAATTATAAATATCTATGCCCCTAACATGGGAGCAGCCAATTTTATAAGGCAATTAATAACAAAAGCAAAGAAACACATTGACAACAATACACTAATAGTGGGGGACTTTAATACCCCTTCACTGAAACGGACAGATCATCTAAGCAAAAGATCAACAAGGAAATAAAGACTTTAAATGACACCCTGGACCAAATGGACTTCACAGACATATTCAGAACATTCCATCCCAAAGCAATGGAATACACATTCTTCTCTAGTGCCCATGGAACATTCTCCAAAATTTGGAGAAATCCCGGGTCACAAATCAGGTCTCAACCAGTACCAAAAGAATGGGGTTATTCCCTGCATATTTTCAGACCACAATGCTTTGAAACTAGAACTCAATCACAAGAGGAAAGTCGGAAAGAACTCAAATAGATGGAGGCTAAAGAGCATCCTACTAAAGAATGAAT